CCGGTTAGTCCAGATGTATCTGGTTTGTCCGGGACATCCAGATGTTTCCGGACCATCCAGATGTTCCCAGAACATCCTTATGTGTCTGGGCCATCTGGGCCAGATAGATGTTTCTGGGCCGTCCGGACCATCCATATGTTCTCGGGCCTTCTGGATGTGTCTGGTTCGTCGGGGCTTCCCAGATGTTCCCGGCCCATCCAGATGTGTCCGGGCCGTCCAGATGTTCCCGGCGGCTATAGGCAGTCCTGGCAGAGCGCCACCTGGCCCTTCATGTAGTCGCGGCAGGGGCAGACGCGGCGCAGCGCGGCGTGGGCTCCGGCGCAGCTGAACAGCAGCAGGTCGGCCTGGAACACGCAGTGGCGCCGCGCCGGGCTGTAGGCCGGCACCACGGTGTCAGAGCTGGACTCCACCGTCTGGCAGTCCACCCCGAACCTGGAGGGGGGGGGGCAGGTAAGTCACCTTAACAGGTAACCAGGTGAAGCACAGACTACTAAGCTATGTGATTAGTTAATACATAGCTGAAAGCTACTCACAAAGCTACTAAGGTATTCAGTTATTAACTAACCCAGTAAATTAATCGATTTAAGATGGTGCTTACCATTGACCTGTTAGCTAACGTGGTAAGTTACCTGAACAGGTAACCACGTAGATTACAAAGCTACTAAGCTATTCAGTTATTAACTAACCCGGTAAATGAATCGCTTTAAGATGGTGCTTACCATTGAGCTGTTAGCTAACGTGGTAACTTCACCAATAAACTTAGAAAGTTAATAGCTTACTCAGTTACTAACTAACCCAGTAAATGAATCACTCTAAGCTAGTACTTACCATTGACCTGTTAGCTAACATGGTAGGTTACCTGAACAGGTAACCAGATGAATCACAAAGCTACTACGCTATTCAGTTATTAACTAACCCGGTAAAGGAATCACTCTAAGCTAGTACTTACCATTGAGCTGTTAGCTAACGTGGTAAGTTACCTGAACAGGTAACCAGGTGAAGCACAAAGCTACTAAGCTATTCAGTTATTAACTAACGCAGTAAATGAATCGATTTAAGATGGTACTTACCATTGAGCTGTTAGCTAACATGGTAAGTTAGTAAGTAACTTCACCAATAAACTTAGAAAGCTAATAGGTTACTTAGTTACTAACTAACCCAGCAAGTAACTTTACCTACTAGTTAGTAACTAAGTAGCTTTGTAACCCATTAACTAACTAAATAATAACCAAGTGATCATCTTAGTAAGTAATTAACAAAATAGATATCCTGATAACAAAGTAACTCAGTAAGTAACCAACCAACACACCCGGAAAGTTAATAAGTTACTTAGTTACTAACTAACCCAGTAAGTAACTTTACTTACTAGTTGGATAAATATCTTAGTAACTAAGTAGCTTTGTAACTTAACTGATTAACTAATAACTAAGTGATCATCTTAGTAAGTAATTAACCAAGTAGATATCCTGATAACCAAGTAAGTAACCAACCAACAAACCTGGAAAGTTAATAGGTTACTTAGTTACTAACTAACCCAGTAAGTAAGTCTACTTACTAGTTGGGTAAATATCTAAGTAACTAAGTAGCTTTGTAACCTATTAACTGATTGACTAATAACCAAGTGATCAACTTAGTAAGTATCAGTAGATATCCTGATAACCAAGTTACCAACCAACAAATCTAGAAAGTTAATAGCCTATTCAGTTACTAACTAACTAACCCATTGAGTAACTTTTACCTGGTAGCTACTGGTTACCTACAAAGTAAGCGACTCAGTAAACGATTAGCCAACTTGGTAATTAACCAACCTACAAACCTGGAAACACCGGAGCTTTGATAGTTTCCTGACTCATCAGCTAAACTTTCTCACTAACTAGCTGGGTCAGTACTAAGTTAGAAAGGGTAACCGGGCCCTCACGTCCCACCTGGCCAGGTCTTTGTCTTTATTGAGGTGCTGGAAGAAGGAGGGCTCGCAGATGAGCTGCTCCTCCTGGCACACCTGCTTACAGGAGCGGCCCGGCTCGGCCTGCTTCACCTGCAGGGCGCTGAGGGGGGGCCACATCACCTGGCCGTGGCAGAAGTCCTGAAACAGCACAGAACAGCAGCGGTCACATTTTAGGGCTCTCCAACAGGCTCTCCAACAGACTTAGAGAGGATTTGGAGGACAAGAAAACTGTCACAGGTTTCCATTAAAACTCTGAGAGACGCACCTGGTTCTCGATGAAGGCGTTGACCCTCTGCAGCATCCCCTCACAGGTGAACTCGTAGGGAAGGTACGGCTCGATCTGATCAGAGACAACAAGCGTCAGGAAAGCCGAACCAGCTCAGAGATACAGGAACAGGGGCCTGTTCACGTCTTCAATAGAGGATTAAAACAACCTTTTTCTTTTACTTTTAACCCTAAAAAGAAGCTATCATTAATACACATTTCATTATTTGGACCACTTCCTGCTTTTTCACCTGCTGGAAAAGGCAGAACATAGCTCCATCTGGTGGATGAAATTGGGATTTTTAGGGTTTCTGGCGCCTGGATGCTTCCGGAACTCCATTAAAAAGGAACTCGGACCAGAATAAAACCTCGGATTTTTGAGCTTCTGAGCATTTTCCCGGCTCACCTTCTGACTGAGGATGGAGCGGATGGCCCTCTCCACCTCCGCCGGGTTCTCGATGTCCACCGTCCAGACGTGGGGCTGACCGATGTACACCTCGGCGTAGGGATGCTGGGAGGTCAACTGTGGGCAGCAGAGCAGCTGTTAGCTCAGCCCCATATCTCCCAACCCCCCCCCCCCCCCCACTCCCCACTCACCTCTCTCAGGGTGGGCTTGCCCTTGAAGAAGTCGGTGTTCTTGCTGCTCTTCGGAGGGCTGAATTTGGGGTTGAGGAAGGCGCAGCCGTTGGCGATGGCCTCCAGGGGGGCGGGGCCCTCGTAGGGGAAGGACAGGCCCACGAATAACTGCAGAGGAGAAACGATGGAGAGTGGATTAAATGTCTGTTTCAGCAGGGGGGGGGGGGGGCTCGTAGGGGAAGGACAGACCGACCAATAACTGCAGAGGAGAAACGAGGGAGAGAAGATTAAATGTTTGTTTGAGCTGGAAATCATAAGGTGTATCCCCACAAAAAACAATAAAAGATTTCTTTAAAGTTTGTCATTTTTTTATGTGAACACGATGCTTTTAACTGTGACATTTCGGTAAAATACAGGAAGTCAGAGCCCAACAGGCTGAAGCTGAACTGTCCCGACAGGTTTGCTGGTGGATAATGAGAGACACCAACACCAGCTCCAGTCCGAGTTCACACTCCCATCCAGCTGCGAGCCCGCGTCCCAGCTCTGAGGAAGAAGAGCTGAAGAGCACCAGTTAAACTGAGGAAGAGACCAGAGAACAACAACAGGAGCACAAAAATGAAGAATGGATCAATGAGGAACCGACGGGGATCAGCGGTGCAAACCAAAAAAGTATTTAGGTCCTTTTCAATGTTTGATTTCAGATGATTATGATCCATATGATCCTCGCATAAGAGGCTCTGAGCACCGTCAGTCCAGATGTTTGGTCTCTTTGATCACATGTAAATCACTGAGGTAGGAAAAAGGCTTCTAACTCAAGGGATGAGCCAGTGCTGTGAAAAAGCAGCTTAAACAGCAGCCTGTCACAGAGACACAGCATTTGTTCCCATTTCTTTAGCTGATGGGTGAAAAAGGCCAAAGAAAACCCAGTCTGACAGATAAGAAACAGGATTTCTGAGGATTCCCAAAGAGCTGCTGGCTGGTAACTGGGCAGATCTCAGCCTGGTGAGCAGAGAAGCCTTAAAACATCTGAGGAAACTGGACCAGAGGAGGACAGAAGAAGAAGAGTTAGGCCTGAAAAACTCTGCAATCCAGCAGAGAGCAGAACAGGAGCTGAGAGCTGCATCTGGACCACCAGATAATCATCTCATCAGAAATGCTCTCCATGAAGGGGGGTTGTCCAGAAGCCATGAAGGAAGGAAACAGGAGGAAAGGCGTCGCTCTGCCAGAGGAACCAGAAGTGGACTGAACCCCAGCAGCTCTGATGGAGGAATGGATCCTCCAGAGCCGGAGCTCCACATTATGAAGCAGAGTGGGATCATCTGAAGGCAGAAACATCCAGAGAAGAGCTTCGGGACGTCCTTCAAGAAGCTGGAGAGCTTTTCCTCCTCACAGAGAGGAGCTGCTGGCAGAGGCTCAGAGATGAAGGAGAGAGACTCCCTTCATCTTAAATCAGACTGGGTTCGACTCTCTGAGGAGGAGCAGAACTGGCCACAGACTCTGCTCTGTGCCCTCAGGACAAACACACTTTCTGTCCACACACAAGGCGGCGTTGTGCAGCTCAGGAGTGACCAGGATTCCTCAGCTCTGCTCTGTAATTGCAGCGTTTCTGCCAGCAGGGGGCAGCAGAGCACGCGTCCTGTGAGGAACAGCCGGCTTCTGTTCCCCGGCAGACAAAGGGAAGAGGCCGCGTCTCTAATGTGGTTGGTATGGATTTTAAAACATGAAATCAGTAGGAACACAGCTCTGACCCAGATTCTCCTCATTAGCCCACATCCTGATAATGCTGCGTTTATATATATTTATATAAATGTGCTCACAGCGGGAAGAGCTCATCAAATCCACTCCGCCTGCTCCAGTGTTTCAGATCAAAGCCTCTATTGATCGGTCTGCTTGGAGGACCTCTCCGCCTCCCGGTGCATCTAAATTCTGCTCCAGACCTTTCGTCACAAAGGCCCAAAACGACTCTACCTGTCAGCAGCTGCCTGCAGGCTGGTTCTCTTTCCACCACAAACCAGTCCAACCAGTCCGACCGACCGGGTCCAGACTGGGAAACAAACTCCTTCCTTCCCCTGTTGTTCACCGGCTCCACCAGAACTGAACACATATCTCTGGCCCCACAAACCAAAACAGGCTCCTCCGGCCCAGAACCAGAATCTGGACACAGCTTTCTGACACCTGCCAGAACATCTGGAACATCTGGCAGGGGGATTCAAAGTCTGTTATCAATGTTTAAGTTTGGGAGTGAATCTTAAAATGTGTCACAACAACACAAACTTTCTTCTCTTTAATTTTGTTCTCATCAGTTTATAAAGAAGAAAAATATGTTTTGGTTGTTTTGTGCATCTTTTGTGCCATTTGATGATTTCAGGCATCAGGCTTTCTCCTGTTAACAATTATTGGGTGGAACAACAAGTAGTGATGACAGAGGGACCCTTCATTTTAAGGTGGAATGACCAGAAAGGAGGCCAACACAGACCAAACTGAGACATCCCTCCTGACTCAGGAGTCCAGAATGTGCTTGTTATATTCCTAATATTTCTGAAAAGGCGGATTCTTTCCAGTTCCTTCTGATGGATTCATCAGAAGGGACAGCGCTCCCTTCAGGCACAGCTGTTTATTTCAGGAAATCTGAGCATCGCCTCCAAAAATCGAACGTCAACAGCAAAACATTCGTCCCCAGAGTCCCAGCCTGGGCTTTGTTCGACCCCGGGAGGCTCATTAGCTCCGGCTGGCCGTGTGCAGCTAGCAGACTTCAGTAAACTGCCAGACGCAGCAGGAACACTTAGCTTGGTGGGATTTTACTGGTCACTCCCTGAAGTAAAACACATCCTCTTTCATATCTGAACTTAACTCCTCTGAATACTTTTTAAAAAATCATCATCATTCATCTGCAAAGCTCCCAGATCATCATGCCTCCCCCTCCGTGTTTGGTTTCTCCTCACTGTCCCAGAAGTCTTTGCTAACCTGAGCCGAGGTGCTAATTTCTGTGACCTTTGACCTGTAACCTGCTAGCTAAGGCCTGAGATGAAACTCTGTGCTTTTAGCTGGAAGGAACAGATTTCTCCCCGGTATGAAAGGGATTCTGGGGAACCGAAAACCTACGTTCAGGGATCAGCTCTGTGGATCTAAAGCCGCACGCATTCGGCCTCCTCCCAGCAGAAAAGTCTGCCCTCAGAGGCTCCACTAATCTGAATTTCCTCCGAACGATTCCTCTGTGAAAGCCTCCAAAGAGTCCATCCATTTGTTTAAACCCTCAGATTAGAGGCTCCACTGGAGGAGCCCGTCTCTTTCTGACCGGGGGTCTCACCTTGGTCTCCCGCAGGAGGAACTGCAGGTCTCGGCCGCTCAGGATGCCGTGGTTCTTCACGTAGCTGGGCAGGTGCACGGTGCTGGTGCCGTGCACGGTGCCGTGCACCTCCATGTAGCTGTGGATGATGTCCAGGTACTTCTTCTTGTCCTGGGGCCGACAGAGAGAAACAAACGGTGAGTTTTTCATGCAGAGAAAAAAGGTTAAAATCAGACTCACACAGAAACTCGTCAGGTTTGGACAGAAATAATTCGAGTTTGTCCTCTTTCTGACCAACACCGAGTCAAAGAGGGGAAACTTTAAGGACGGCCGAGTGCTTTTAAGGCTGAATCCTTCTGGGAGGCCTTTTGCGATTTTGTGAACACTCACACAGCCGGAAATGTTATTGATAGAAATAGTCCCAACGCTCGAGGGGCAGCGAAGCCTCATAATTGTTTAAAACAACTTGTTTTAAATGGGTGCACATTTAAGGTGTGTGTGTATGTGTGTGTGCGTGTGTGTGTGTGTGTGTGTGTGTGTGGATGTCAGGTCTTTCCTTCTGAGGCTTAGATTTCAGGTGGCCGCTCGTCTGAGTCCCAGAGGGCCCGACTATCAGATGCCTCCAGCCAGCCTGCTGTAACTAAAGCAGCCTGAGTGTGTGTGTGTGTGTGTGTGTGTTTGTGTGTGTGTGTGTCTGTGTGTGTGTGTGTGCATGTGTGAATGAAGCCCTAATTAGGAGCTGAAATCACAATCCGGTCATCTTTCTGCTCAGGAGAGCTCAGGATTTGAGCGTTTGAAAAGAGGAGTTACAGATAAAGTCGATCATTCCTGAGCACTGAAAGGACCCCCCCCAATCCCCCCTCCTGCAGTAAGTGTGAAGCTGCCCATCAATCTGGGGAGGGTTTTAAAGCAGAGAGAGGAGTACGGCTGTCGGGGGGCCTTCAGAAATCTGTGCACAAACCATCTGAGAGACTAAACTCCCCCTCAGCCATCAGACCGTCAGAGTTTTTGGGATTCACCACTTTCAGGAACGGACTGAGTGAGTAAAGTTAGGCTGACCGCCTCAATCTCCATTAAGAGGAAGACAAACGACCAGGCTGCCGGCTGTGTGTGTGTGTGTGTGTGTGTGTGTGTGTGTGTGTGTGTGGCTGCTGCGACCCTTCAGGCTGATCCCACAACGCTTTCCGCTCCGCTGGCAGATGCTTTCTGGAGCGTGTCCGACTCGGCTCACACAGACGCTCGGCTGGGAAAAAGGCGAGTACGTTCTGCTAACAGGGCTTAAAAAAAAAAAAAAAAAGAAACTAAAAATCGACTTTTGAGATTTTTTTTTTTCCTATGAGCAGGCTCTGATGTCCCCCGGAGGCCTGTGTGGATTTCAGAACGCAGAATGCAAAGTGAAACCCGGGAGCGGATCGATCGCAGCAGCTTTCTCAGGAGTTAGAAACTGGCGGCTTTAGCTGGAGAGAAGAGGAAGAGGAGGAGGAGGAGGAGGAGGAGGTGAGCTTTATGACCTTGTAAATCGGAGGGAATTTGTAGAGGAAACCGGAGAGCAGCCAGAGTCTGAAACGTTCTCATCTACCATCCGCTTCCCCTTTGACATGTTTCTCATCAGCCCGGGGGTCACGGCCCCACCTCAGATTCTTCTGCTGCCTTTCTCCAGGCTTGAAAAATGAAAACCAGTTTTGCTGGGTCCCCTTTTCCAGCCTGGAGGAGCTTTAGTCGCATCACAATGCAGACAAGCCCAAAACTGCCTTTGGCCATAGATCGGCCCCCAGCCAACAGACACTGAGACCCAAAGGCATCTTGCTCACTTATAACCCCCTCCAGAGGAGAAAAAAATATATTTTTCCAGTCAAACAGCCCAACCATTAAACACATGTTTGAGCCAGATAAATTAATCAGAACCTGATGAGATCGTTCATCTACGCTTTACCTTTAAGATACTGAAACTGGTGACAAGTTACAGGTTTTTCTTTGGACATTTTCTGCTTTTATACTCATTTTACTTCTGGCACAAAAAGGCCCCTAACTCAAGGGATGAGCCCCTGCAGCACATAACCGGTTTAAAGTGGATCTTTAGGCTCTTTGTTAGCAGCAGCCCGTCAAAGACGCGCAATTTGTTCCCGTTTCTTTAGCCGATGAGTGGAAAAGGGCCAAAGAAAAACACAGTTTGACAGACAGGAAACAGGATTTCTGAGGATTCCCAAAGAGCTGCTGGATGAAAACTCCTTACAGAAAGAACTCAGCTGCTTCAGAGGGTTCAGGCTGAGCTTTAGGTCAAAACTTCTGCCCTGCTCTCTATTCGGGACACAACTTTCCTCTGAACTACATCTAAAATATGTTAAGATCAATAGTGGCCCGGTGTGTAAAACAGTGAGGAGAAGTATTAAATAAATTCCTCTTCATGGTTTTCTCTGAACACGAGTGCACGTTTCCCCTTCTCAAACCTCTCAGAGCTCCTCAGTGAAAGTCTTTGAACAACCTTGGGTAAAAGTTTCACAGGAAACTTATTAACTCGCTGGTTCTGCAGAGGGAAACGCAGCTTATCATCCCCTCAGGACTTCTAATGTATTCAAATCCGTGCTGGCGCTGTGGCTCAGGGACCAGGGGATTACCGTTTCCAAGACAAAAAGGACTCAGGGACTTGGATAGATGTGCACATTGTCTGGCTTCCCATGGATGCTGGATTACTTGACGAGCTTTCAGCCAACACATGTCGAGCTGCCCTGGAGTTGGTGGGAGAATTAAGGCTGGAGGGCAGAGGATGACGGGTTAAAAAGCCTAAATTCACTCGGCCGGTCCTCCTCCCAGAGTGAGTTACCTGTTGGTTATTTATTTGGGAGCGTTCTTGTCCCTTTAACCGGGAGCTGTCGGCGGGGGTTTCTGACCCGGTGAGTCAGAGCTCCTGCAGTCTTTTGCCATTTAGTGGAGCTTTAAAAAGGGCAGCCGGAGGAGCCCGGCAGCTCACAGCCGGCGGCTTTAGCTGCTAATCAGGCTACCGAGTCTTCATTACCTCCTGCTTTTAATTAAAGGGCCATTTTAGGGCTGACTGATAACAAGCTGGCAGGCTTTCTCCATCCTGCCCCCCCCCCCAAATGCCCCTTTGAACTGAGCCGTCCTTCCATCTCTTTCTTTCCTCCGAAGAGGTTTAATTTCCAAAGGAAAGTGAGCTGAATGTTTCCCAAGGTGACTTCAAATGTTCCACAAGGACCCATCATCTGGCTTTTAGAGGGGGGGTGGGAAAAGAGGTCGAATCCAAGGGAACGCAACATCATTTCTGTTCACAGAAACAGGAAACGCTCGGCTTCTCCAGCTTGAGGTGCTTTTCAGGAAACGATTATTCAGCTTCCAATTGGCTGACAGCAAACCCAGAAAACAGTTTGAAGGACTTTATTAGCATAAAATAACTTTGGGCTTTAGCCTAACCTCTGACGACAGAAAGGTTTTGCACAGTTCCCGTTCATGCCAGCAAAGTCAAAGCTTATTTAAAGGCTGACATCGAGGTTAAGTTACAGGTGGAAACCTGCTCCAAAGCTGTCCGCCCACATCTGGACACATCAGGATGAGGGAAAAGACAATGAAGCAGAACAGCTTCAATGTGTCTCTTCAGTTAAAGTTCTCCTCAACTAAAGCCCAAAAAGGACATTATTAACCTTTATTGAACAGTCATATTTGTTTTTATCCCTTTATGGCCTGAGAGCCTCCACTTCCCTTTTTAACAGCACGTCCTGTTTTGTTAGTAACGTGCATAAATCCACCTCAAATGGCTTTTTGGTCGGAGCCGTTGTGTAAACATGAATCCTGATGGATTAAATCTGATGGGATGATGTGTTAGAGCTGCCAGCAGGAACCTGTTGCTCAGAACCGGCCCCTCGGAGGTTTAATAAGAAACTAAAGAGCTTAAGAACTCATTTGGACAGCTGGATGGAGGCTTCTCCTTTTTCTGGAAAGAATAATGCTGCTGAAGTTTGGCTGGCTGAGTTGTGGGGATGATGAATTAGAGGGAACCTTCAGAGCCTCGAAAACAGCACGGAGGGGGATTTTTACCGCCTTGAGAAGGCTAAAATGCTGTTTTAATCTAAATTAGACAAAGAAACGCTTGGATGGAAAATTGGAGTTAATAAAGTGCTCGTTAAACGTACGAAGAAGCAAATTAAACTCATTCAAACGTGAAGAAAATCTTTAAATGAAGGGTACATTTCATTTCAGTCGCTGAGCCCCATCACAGCAGCACCGACAGACAGTCCGAATGTTTTATATTTCTGCTCAAATTCAGATTAAAATATAGTCTGAGACGGTCAGAGTTTTGGTTTGGGTTTAAAATCTGTTTTGTTACAGTTTCCTGGTCTGTTAGGACATTAGATAACTCGTTTCTGGGGTTTTCTCTGTGACAGTAACGCTCCCGTGAGGCTTCCCATCTCTCTGTTTGGGGATTCTTGCACACATGTGATCCTCTCGTGTGTTTTCCCTGGCACTACAGCATCAGGAGGACTTGGCTGTGTGTTGTTTACGCTGGCGTCCGCGGCAGCTTTAAGTAAATCCTGTGATTAACAGCCGCCTCATTAGTGGAGAATTACCTTCAGACGCGTCCCGGGGGTAAAAAAAATCCAGGAGCTGAAGGACTCTCCTTTCTGCTTTTGGAGGAGCAGAGTCGATGGTGAGGAATCCGGAGAAATAAACTCGACCGCCTGCCATGGGTGGCGTTGCCACGGCAACCGAAATGTGAGCGCCGAGCTGCAGAACGAGGCAGCTGAGAGCTCTCTCTTCCCCCTTTTTTTTTCCTTTTCCCCACAAACAAGCGCTCATGGCTGCTTCTACGCTTTATGTAAATCATCTCTGGTGCAAACACCCCTCACTGGGTCTGTGGGGGGGGGGG